CCGTGATTTGGGGATTAGAGCTAAAACCAGAGCAACAAAACCCCGTCCAGGTCTGCAATGGAGTATCCGTAACAAAAACAGCAGATGATCATTTGCCCTTAGTGCTATGCTTCAGAATACAGTAAGGCGACACTCTCAGTTCCCTCGCGTTCAGCTTAGCAAAACGAAGTGAATGCCAGAGGCCTTCAAAACACAAAAGAAGAGCTCCTGTGCAGCCAGAGGCAGCCAGTCCTCCTTAAATGTGTTCCCATATTACAGGCTGGAAAATCTACCTTTCTGCGAGCCTTGCCCAGTGTTCAGCGTTAATGCCCTGCACAAACCTTCCTTGCAGACACATGGGCTTAAACTGGATGGCCGTCCAAATCCTCTTCAGTGCAAGCGCCAAAGAAAAATACCTGTTTATCCACCCTGGGCTTATTTGGGATCCCGCAGACGGTGGCTACAACTTTTTGTAATGTGGAGGGCATGGCAGTAGCCGCCTCGCAGGCAGACGCTCCTGTGGCASAGGCAACGAATGGTTTTGTCTAAAGATGTTATGAGAACGTCAGTGTCTGAAACGGAGAGGAACACGAAGAGCAGCTCTTTGCTCCACACACACCCGGCTTTCTGTAGTGAGCTCAGGAAGTAAAAGTAGAAACCACACGCAGGGTCCAGCTCCCAGAGCTGACACGCACCCGAGGAGAGACCCGTTCTGGCACAAGCAGGATACCACCACGCTACRACCATGCCGCTGTCCACGGTTTCCCCTTACTCTGGAAGAAGGTGATCTGAGCAATGCACAGCTCCCAGCCTGCATCCCAGTCCCACCAGGCCATGGACTAATGGGGAACTGCCCRGGCAGGAGGAGCAGGGATACGCAGGGATACGCTGGAATCCCCCGCACGTTTTGCACTGCACTGGGGCTCCTCGCGCACTGAGCCAGGCTTTGCGGCACGGGCAGAGCCCTTGAGGCTCCTGGAGCCATTTGGATGCGCTGAGGAGTCTCTGCCCTCGCCGTCGTTGCCATTTCATGGGCAGAAAGGCGGCGGAGGCAGAGCACGAGCGGCGAGCGCTGCTCGCAGGCCAGCGGCGACGGCCACGGGGAATTCGCTCCGGCTTCTCCTCCTCAGTTCTTACTTCCCCATCCGAGCGCCTCGGCGCGGCTAAATTGCTTCTGTGACGGAAGGAAGCAGAGGTGAGGCTGAACGCACGTGAGGCGCCAGGCCCAGGGGCTGTCCTTGCGCAGCGCCGTGGYGGGGCTGACCTTCTCCAGGACCTTGGACAAGGACGCACACGAATCCTTCCAAGACCTTTCCCATTGCCACGGAGCTGCCCGCGCCCCAGCTCAGCTCCTGGGAGTCACGAACAGCCCTTCCAAGGACGCTACCAGGATGCTGCCCTCAGAACTACAGCACCGCATTTACCAAGGATTACTTAAGCCCTGTTTAATTACAGCCCTGAGCCCTATATGATTTTTCCATTRTAGGCCTCGCTCTTACCCCTTTTAAGTCCAATTCCATCATTCTGCAAGAGCCGGAGACAGGGAGACGTGCAGCTCGGAAATCTGTATCAGGCAGCAGCGAGGCGAGACGAGAGCAGTCGCCCGGCGCTTCCAAGAGATGAGACAACGAAACGAGGCCCAGTGTGGCCTCCTTTCATCTAAACGTACAGTTTCACGAGGCAAACGCGCCTCAAAGCAGCCTCCGAGGCCTTCCACGAAGGCCAGGCCGTGCCTTCCCAAGCAGCCCATCCCCGTGCTTCGCTTCTCGCGCTGGCGGAAGTTTTGTAATGCCCAGACCCAGCGTGTCCTCGCCGGGCCGCGTGGGTCTCCTCCAAGCCCGTGCCGGGAAGGAGCAGGACGCAGCTGTCTCTTCCAGGCCTCCTTCCCATTCCACCGCGGCCACCTGGTCCCCTTGCAGCCCCAGCACCCCGTCGCTTTGGGCGCCTCCCCGTACACGGTATTTTGTGAGTTTCTGATCCCCCGGGACCTCCTACGGAGCCTCCTCTCCAATGCAACGCTCGGCACTAACCCACCATGCTGCTTTCCTCCTTACCCAGCGCAGCGGGCTAACTGCACCRCACGCCTTGCGGTGCCCCTCTCGCTGCACCCCGAGCGAAGGCCGGGGCTTCGCTTTYGGATTCGCCACCACCAACGGCCTCCTGCCGATGACGCATGTTCAGCCCATGATCCATGTTAATCCCTAGATCCTGTTGCACGGTGCGGCCGCTCCGTGTGTTCCCAGCTCCGCGTCGGCCTTCCCAGCGCCGACGGCGGGAACCTCCAGCCCGCGGCACCGCTTTGAGCGCCCGTCCTGCCCGCCGCGGCGCTCACACACCCAGAGAGCTCGAGGCCAAGAACTGCRACCAGAGACGCTTGGGGACAGAAGGGTCCCCGAGGGCGCAAGCCAGGGGTAGGACGCCCCTGGGTGGGCACCGCGCTCCCCTCACAACAGCATCCACCACAGCCGCTCCCGGCGGTGCCCGGCAGCCTCCGCACGGTGCCCACAGCCCTGGCGGCGCCCGCGGCACTCAGGGCGGCCGGCGCCGCTGGCCGCGTGCACAGGACCCCGCGTGGGAAGGCAGGTCCCGAAACCCCCGTGCCGTGGCGGTCGGGGCTGCTGTGCGGACGCAAGGCGGCTGTTCCGGGAGGCCCTCGTGCCCGCCCGGCAGAACCTGCAGGAACTGGGGGGAACCCAGGGAAACCCGTGCGCGGTGGGGACCAGGAGGCGGGGACAGGCCGGGAGCCCAAGCGGCCCCGGGGCCCGGGAGCCAAGGGGCACCCCGCGGTCCCCCGAGCTTCCCGCACGGGGCCGGGGCCGGGGCCGGCCGCCCCG